CTGCTCCCTAGTCTCAGCTGGAACCCATCGTATTTTTGTGGGTTTTTTTCAAAAGGCTCGCATAGCCAAGAGTGTGCCATCTCCCAAGAAGCCATGATCCCGCTGAACTGTGTGCTGTATTGTGAGCAGTACAACCTTCTCCCTTTAGTCTATGGTAACTCCAGAGGTGGGAAGTCCTTCAAGCAGCCCTCGAATGAAACAATTCCCCATTGTTGCTGGCAGATGTGCAGCATCTGAATACAGTGGCGATGAGATGTCAGTCATGCTGCTGAGACCTGGCTGTGGACCTGGACAGCAGCAAGGAACTATTCAGTGGTTGACGGTGGCTTTGGCCATTTAGAGGAGCGCTGTCGCTGTTTGCTTTCTAAATTAGACCTCCGTGAAAGCGGTATCCTCACGGCTACAACTGCCTTGTGCCCACCATTCTGAAGCGCACACAAATGGTGAGAGGTTTCCATGGGGGTGGGGCGTGGAAGTAAACTTTTGTGATGAAAGACACAGATGGAGTTGAAGGGATTGGTCCAGTTTTCAAATAAATAGTACAGAGAGGGTGGGGGAAGGGGAAGAGAAGGAAAAAGGGGAAAGAAATTGTCAGAGTGTCCATGCTCAATGAAGCTGTTAAGAATACTTAGTACCCGCTCTAAGTACCTTTATTTGTTTTTTATGTCATTAGAGCGTGGAATGTAGCAGGTCATCCAGCCAATGGTTTTGTTTAGGCTTCTATTGTAGGAATCAACTTGTAACTGAATTTAAGTTCTGTAGTTTCCCTGTTAAGCTGGGTTTTGAAATTGGTTTGGAATAATACGGTGACTTTGAGATCCATTAATGAGTGCCTGGGGAAGTTAAAATGTTTCTCAACAGGTTTCTGGGTGTTGCCTTTTTGGATGTCTGATTTGTGTCCATTAATTCTTTCTCATAGAGACTGTCCCGTTTGGCCAGTATCCGTGTCAGAGGAGCATTGCTGGCATTTGATGACATAGATCACATTAGTGGATGTGCAGTTAAATGAGACTCTGATGTGGTGATTTACGTGGTTAGGTCCTGTGATATTACCTGTAGAGATGTGTGGCATCAGGGTTGCTTGCAGGGGTGGGTTCCTGGGTGAGCGTGGAGGTGTACTGCGTGGTTATCGGAAAGAACTTATTTGAGGTTAGGGCGTTGTCTGTAGGCGAGGATTGGCCTTTCCCCCAAGACCAGCGAAAGTGAGTGGTCATTTTCCAGGACAGGTTGTAGATGGTTGATCATGCGCTGGAGGGTTTTAAGTTGGGGGCTGAAGGTGACGACAAGTGGTGTCCTGTTGTTTTCTTGTAGAGCCTATCTTGAAGTAGCTGTCGTCTGGGTACTGGTCCGGCCCTGTCGATCTGTTTTTCCACTTCTCTGGGTGGCTATTCCAGTTTTAGGAATGCTCAATACAGACCCTGGAGGCATTTGTCTGTCTGTGGGATTGCCATTCCAGTTGTAGGTTTCTCAAGGCCAGGGGCCCTACTGCTGTGAGTGTGAGCCTTGTCCACAGGAGGAGGGGGATTGTGTTGGTGCTTGCTGGGGACTGGTGAGTCAGGATACAGGCTAGAGAGCACCTCGCAGTCAGCCATTGAAACCCTGCCAAGGCTAAGCAGCAGTTGAAGGGCATGTGTGCGCTTCAGTGAAACTGTCTCCGGCTCTGGCTACAGGGCTTTAAAATTGCAGTGCAGACATCTGGGCTTAGGCTGGAGCTCAGTCCACACCTGGACATGCACCCTGCAGTCTCCAGCCCCGCCTCATGAACACGACTCCGCCGGCTGCAGTTGTTCTGGGGCAGTCTAGACGTATGTGAAGTCACTGCCCGGGAGGGGTGAAAAACCCCAGTTAAACCTAGCCTTGAACTGGTGAAGTGTGGGATCCCAGCGGGGGGCTGCTCCAGCCCAAACCCGCTCACCGAGGATGGAGGGGGAGCAGGCCGCTGGCTCTCAACTCCCGGGTGGGAGGCTGCTCCCGCCCCCGGTACCGGATAACTGGTTCACCATTTGCGTCCCCGCTACCTGTGGAATGGGCGAGTGCTCAGTAACAAAGTAGGCCATTTCTGTAGTCGTTTATGGGTCCCATGTGTGCTTCAGTGTATTTCATGGCTACCCTGCGTGTGTGGACTGAGTTGGTTCTCGGGGAAGGCTGAGACACATCACATCTGTTTGTGTGTCCTCACTACCTGCAGGGAATGTGTGAGGCTTATGGACACCTCACATGCTGATCTAAGGGGCCCTTTCGTCAGTGAGGCAGTCTACCTCCCTGGGCGGGGGGAGCCGGGTTAACAGAATTCTTGCATCCACCCAAAGTGCACAGTGTGAAGCTGGAATGCTGAAGCCCGAGGGGCAGGCCAGACTAGACTAGAAAATTGGGCTGGTTTATCCCCATTAGTTAGTGGTTCAGATGTAGACGAGCGATGTGTGGCCTACCCTGGAGAAAGAACGAGGTCCCTTGGGGGGGAGCACTCCGAAGGGGCTGCTTCCAAAGCTGGGGTGTAGCAGCAGTCCTGTGGATCCAGGACACAGTCCCATTTCCACTCCCAGTGGGTCAATAGTCACGTCGCGTAGGCCAGCAGAATGACGGGCTCTCGTTCCCTACCTCCACTGAGACTCCCTTGGTGCCAATCCAGTTTGTCAGGTCACCAGCACTAAATTCGCTGAGCGGTTTACCTACAACTTGCAGTCTGAACTTGCTTCACTTGCTCGAAATCCCCGTCAGCTTTTGCAGTTTTACAGTCACACATCAAGAGTCTTTAGATCGTCTCCTCTCTGGCGTTGTGTGAAAGACCCAGACAAACCGGAAAAACGGACTCAATGCAAAGTCTATTGAAAGGAAAAAGGGATGATTCAAAATATTTTAGCTATAGAGATCTCAGGAGTTAATTTGTGCCTGGGTTTCAACCTAGTGTAGCAACAGATGTGATTTTTAAAATGTCAGTGTGTCTCAGAATGGCCAGGGGGTTTTGATGGCCAGACAATTGCAGAGAGATGGTAGAAAACACTAGCTGGAAAACGAGAGTGGATCTGGTCTCCCCTCCTCCAAACTAGTTTCTCTGTTAAATGTAAAGGAGGGGACAATCCCTTTCCTTTGTAATTTAGCTATGCCCAGATCCTGTGGATTTAATGATAGTATTAATGCTTCACACAACAAAGCCCCCCTCTTCAGTGCAGGTTAAAGGTTCCTGTTTCACATCCCTCTCGTGTGGGGAAACCCAATGCCAGACTGACTCCATTCAAAGGGAATGCTGCTTAGCATGGCTAGTAATTTCAGTGCACTCAGATGGTCAGGAATGTGGACATTTGCAAGCTGTGTGCGCTCTTTCCATCTGTTTGTGTAATCCCTCAATTTGACAGGGCTTTCTGTGCTGGGGAAATCTTGGCTGCTCTGCTGCCTGCGTTTCCATCCCATCCTATCCGGTCCTCCGGAGTTGGAGTGCAGACCGTTCTGACTGGAGGGCTGTCTCCGGGCAGAGCGAGGGAAAGTGCTTAGTGACATCAGGGCTGGGTTTTCCTTTGAAATGTTGCCTGCTGGCAGGGAGGGAGAGGCTGTGGCTGGATTGGTTAAGTTCAGCCTGCAAGTGAGGTCTAAACCCTGGTTAGGGAGATTCAGAGACCTAAGTATGGAAGATCTGAAGCTGTATTAATTAGACACGGGGGGGAGAGGGGGGCACTGCATGACCAGAGCTGCTGTCCCAGTGCGGGGAGGTGAGTAGGTCTCAGTGAAGCAGTGAGGTGCTTTGAGGTAAGGCCTGTCTCTGGTTTTGGGGCCCCGGGCTGCAGTCCCCAGACTGCATCACTGCTATCCAAGTGTGGCTGCCTGACTGAGTTGCTCGCTCTCTTCGTAAGGTCGTTGTGTAGTGCTTGTATTGCCATAGTCAGGGTGCTGTGGAGATGTGCGCACAGGCTGTGTCCATGCATTGTGTACCTATTAGGGCTGTCTGTTAGTTGTGCTGCGACCCCACTGATCCTGTGTCCCCTGACAGGGTTGGTGCCCCGACTGTCTTTTTGAGCCCAGTTCTCCAGCCTTCTTCAACCGAGACATACAGGGCTGCACCTCCAAGGCTGCAGGTGCACCCCGAAAGCAGTGCAGGACGAGACCCACTCCCAGCACTCAGTATATAGCCCCTCTGGGAGCCAAACCCCATAGCAATCTGTTTTATGCTATATAGAATCCCATACAGAGTAAGCTAATGAAAATTCACCCTCTGTCAATGTGACGAGATTCAGAGTCCTTGCTCCCCCCTCCCCTGGTTACAATTATTTAGGCTGAGTTTATTAATAAACAAAAGTGATTTTATAAAGGGTAGCATCTGAGCAGTTATATGAGAGCTTGCAGAACTTGTTCTAGGTTTGATCCCCTCCCAGCCTCTCATGGAAAACCACAAATAAAGACGGGTTCCAGTTTCACGTGACAGTCACACATCTCTAGTTATTCTTCACCAGCTGAACCCCAAGTTCTCAGCAGGGTTTTTCGGTTCATTGTCTCTCACTGATGGGCCTCAGCACTGACCTTTTTCATTGTTGTGCCTGAAGTGTCAGCAGTGACATAATTGTCATTTGTGCAAAGCAGCAAATATGAAATTATCAGCACAGGCTCCTAATTTTACTCTACACAGATGGGCTAGTCCTATTCAGCAAATCACAGCTTTTCCAGTGATACGTTGCACGAGCCGTCTTGCGTCCAGCACATCTGAGTTATGACTAGAGATGTAAAATCCTGGTTAAGAAGTGAACGGGTTAAATGGAATGTGGGGGCCGAGCCAGGCTGCAGTGACCCACAGTGTGGTGCCAGGGGCCTGGCTAGCCTGTCAGTTAACCAGTTACTGGTAAGCATCTTCCTGCACGCAGCCGTTGGATTGGCAGGTGACTCTCCAGAAATGTCTTCTGCTGCTACTTGTATCTAAATGCAATAGGAGGAGAGAAATAACGGGAGTAGCTCAGCCTCCGATTAGTTTGGCTCTCCCTATGGGCAGCTGTATCTAATGGTCCTTGTTCTGTTAGATGGTTTGGTGATTCCACTGGTGGAACTGTCTGCGAAGCAGGTGGCGTTTCACATTCCATTCGAGGTGGTGGAGAAAGTCTACCCCCCTGTACCTGAGCAGCTGCAGCTTCGCATCGCCTTCTGGAGCTTCCCGGAGAACGAGGAGGACATCAGGTAATGTGTTCTGTTCTGCCCTGTGTGGGCTTTGAAACACACCCATCTCTGTAGAGGAGACTCCAAGTCCTGGATCAGATTGGGGTCCCTTGCTCTCTTGGTGCTGTTCTAACTCCTGCATCGCCGGCACAGTTTGAATCTGTTGCTGAAGAGGCAGGATTGCACACGTCTGAAATGCTGGACAAGACTTGCATTCCTAGAGGCAGCCGGGAGACTCGGTCTTGTACCGTGGCACTAAAAACAGCTGTGTAGGAGGAGTGGCTTGGTCTGAAGACCATCCCCTCTAGGCTTCATAATCCAGCCCAAGCCTGAATGTTGCCAGAGATATTTTTGGTGCTGTCATGCGGGCCCAAGGCCGTGGACCCAGGTGCTAAGTCTCATTGCTGTTTGTTGTCTAGACAAACCCTTAGTTATGGCAGTTCAAGAACTGGGGAGGTCCTGACCATCTGGGTGGCCAGGACAGGGTGGGCCAGACAAGTGGCCGGATTCCTTACTTGGTCTCCAGTGTAGCGATCAGTAATCTTTCTGCTTTCGGTTGCTTTGGGTTTTGGCTATTAGCTGCTTTTTCTGGAATCTCCCATAAATGGTTCTGGTTGTGGGATGGGAACGTGTGCATTCAGTCTGCAGCTAGAACGCGCTTGTAAAGCTGTGCTCCAGGAGTTGCTTTGGAAACTCACATGGCCAGGGGACGGTCCCACCAGGAGGAGCCGTCCCAGATGCGTACACTGGAGCTGTAGAAGAATACAGGCAGCTAGCTCTGGTATGCGATAACTTTAAAAGTCATCCAATAACTTACCAATTGGGTAGAGCCCTGCAAATCCATGGATAGCCGCAGCTCATCTTTGTGGATACAGAGGTGGATAAAAAAATTGGTATCTGCACAGGGTATCTAATGGGTACAAGGACAGCAAATCTCATTAAGCATTTTGGTGTCTGTCTCTTTAGAAAGGACTGGTTCAATTAAAAAGGAGTGGTACGTAGTCATGGTAACAAGTGACCCCAGGAACTGGAAAAGGGCCTGTCAAACTCATGTGAGCCTCTGAAGAAGGTGTAGCCCCAACGCTCTATGGTAATATGCAGGCGTGGCAATTTCCTGAATTCGTTTAGGTCAGGGTACAGGAAATACCTACTTGAACCCAGTTTGAACCAGGCAAGTGGGAAGAAGAATTGTCCAGCAAGCATAGACTGCCTCTTTCAAACCTTGGCTCCATCCACTCAGAACGGAGGCATAGGCTTGGTGCCATCTGCAAAACAATGCTGCGTGCCCAAAGGGACCAGGCTTCTGATGGGTTGTTTCAACCCTACAGCTCTGCACTGGGATTTTCATACAATCCGATGTTTTACTTTCATTTGTATAACAATAAATCCTGAAGTGAGTCCTGACGCGTAACTTCCTTGAGAGCATGCCAAGCCAAGGTGTCAGTGTTATAACTGTGTGTTCATGAAGTAGCATGTCATGAAACTGTTTTTAAAATCGGAAGTGCCTTAAACTGTGGCTAGTAGCTTTTTCCCAAGGAGGTATAAACCATGGTTTTACCTGGGGGTTAAAAATCACCTGTGGTAAATACTACACCATCCCTGGCGGAATGCCTAGGAATGTCAATGATTACTCGCAGGATCTCTTAGACAGTGCGTCAGGATTTCTGTAGATAGGGTGTTAGAGAAAAATGATAGAAAAGCGTGGCCCCCACTTTAAAGGTGAGGTAAAAATGACTATCAACAAGCCCTAACTTATTTAATATCCAAACAGATGATGGTGCACGTGTGTTCAAAAACATAACACACAATATGAACAAAATTGGAAACGGTAATTAATTGCCCAAAATGTTGAAATTACAGCTACACTAAAACTCCGTTGGTCCGGCATCCCAATGCTCCAGCACTCCTCATGGTCCGGCACCATCAGGAACCTGGAAGTGCTCTGGGCAGCCGGACAGTTGGAGCTGCTCTGCGCCCGGCTTCCCCATTCAGCCGCTGCTGAAACTGACCAGCAGCTGAATCGGGGAAGCTGGGGGTAGAGCAGCTGAGGTGCTGCCGGGTTGGTCCCGTAGTGCTGCTCCTTGGGGCTGCGGGACCAACCTGGCAGAACCCCAGCTGATCTTGGGGACACCTGAGGAAGAGCTCTGCAGGACCAACCCGGGAGCTGAATCGGGGACACCTGGGGCAGAGCTGAACTATTGGAAGGGGGGGCTATGAGGGGGCTGGAGTGGCCTCCCTCCATCCCTTATAGCCCCCCCTTCCGATAGTCCTGCATATCTGATAATCCGGCACCCCCTGGGTCCTAAAGGTGCCGGATTATTGGAAGTTTACTGTACTGACTTGCTGGCTCTTTTGCCAGAGCAACATCACAACTTCCATGAATTTGAAAGAGCTGTTGCTCTCTTAAATCCCCTCTTCATCTCTCAGCCTTGAAAATACATGTTTGAGACAAGTATGACATTTCTCATCCCTGAGCTCAGGTACATTTTTTAAGTCTAAAATCAAATCTGTGTAGTCTGTGTGCATTAAGTCTGCATAAAAATGTCTCTTTACATGATCAAAGCACCATGCAAAATATTTCATAAATTGTCTTTTAATTTAATTTGATATAAAAATAGTTTTTACGTGAGGAAACCTGCTCCGAACATGTTGTGAAGAATTTGGTTAATAAAATCTTAAGATTTATTCTAAAGCTTAATTTGAACTGCTCATACAGTTGTGAACCAAACTTTTTCAGATGTGCCCAACACTAAATTGCTGGCTTATACCTTAAAATACCAACTACAGATTTGATTCCCTCTCCTCAAAAGTAACTTTCCTATTCCTTCCTCCCCCCTCCTCCACCACAAAAAAAAGTCCCTAGCCAAAATAAAAACTAGAGGAACACAACTGTGGATGCTTGGGTCTAATGGTGCATCAGCTGGTCTATGTTCCTAAATGACCTGTCTGTGTCTCTCTCACACAGGGCAACTTCAAGTGGATTTTCACTCTTTTCTGCAGTCACTCATCTCTTATGCCTCCCCTATCCAGATAACCAATTAAACGGTTTCCAAATATTCTAAGTGTGTTTCCATAGCTCGGGGGTGGGGTGCAGTTCTGCTTTTCTCTGGTGAAGATTGTCCTTGAAAGGGGACTGTTTGCTTTTTCTTAGGCTGTACTCCTGCTTGGCGAATGGCAGTGCAGATGAATTCCAGCGGGGGGAGCAGCTTTTCCGGATGCGGGCTGTCAAAGACCCTCTGCAGATAGGTAAGAATGCTGCATCTAAACTTCTGTAGAGACTTTAAAATCTGTGATCCTAGCTCAGACAAATGGTATGACCACGGCCTCAAGAGCAGTCTTCTTTGCCCAAGGACTCTTGTAGTCTGAAGGCTACAGCAGAGAACCTGTGACCAGAAGCATCCAGGATTGAATGCCCTGCTGAGCTATGTACTTCTTAGCCTTGAAGTTTTGGACAGCTTACTTGGCTTCTTGAAGCCCCGTTAGTCCTGGTGGAAAACAGTGTGACAAGCAGGCACTCTCCTGAAAACTGGATGCGTGATCTAATCTGTGCCTCTTGTTGGGGAAATGTCATGTAACGCATTTGTCTCCATGATGGTCTAATTCTTTGTCAGTAACTTAATCTATTACTAGATTCCTAATGGCAGGATGACGTTCACGCTGCTAATAAAATAAATGTACTGCAGAGATGAAGTGTGCAATTCTGATGAATCCATGTGAGCAGGTGAGGGTTGTAGGCCTGCAGTTGTACTGCAAGAGGGGCATGACGTTTCAATGGAACCAAGGGCCCCTTCAGAGGTCCTAGTAAAGAACTGGAGCAGGGTCGGTGAAGGCGGCTCCCATGGATCAGGGTAGTGACATGACTTCCACCATTTCCCCTGATTGTTTCCTCTGTCCTGTAAGCATTACTCAGACTTGGCTGTGGCAGAGTAAAGACTCACCCCAGACATGCCACAACTTCTTGCTCACTAGCAGGGGCAGGGCTGGAAGAGAGTTCTCAGCCGGATGCCAGGCACTCTAAAGGCATTTTAGCTGCGCCTAATGACCCTCTGCTGCTGTCGACCTGGGCAGGTTGGAAGGTAGATCACAGTGGTTTTTGCTTATCGAGGTAGCCTGTAAAAATGCCACTGCTCAGCACTGCGAAGGGGCTTCAGCTACTCCAGGGCTGACTGTCACAACAATAGCCTGAGCTCTAGGGAAGGAGGCAGTGTGTGCTTCCTTCGATGACCGTATATGGGCTGGGAACCATGCCCCACGCTAATCTGGAGCTAAACAGTGGAACTGAGCCAAATTAGCTTCAGTTGACATTTGAGGGCACATCCAAACCACTGATACCTGGACTGAAATGCTGGCAGGGCCCTGAAAGAGGAGCTGTACAATAGCTATTGGACTTTGAAGAATGAGTTAAAAGGAAATTGGCTGAAATGCAATAATGCTTGGGAAACTACATTCAATAGGTTCTCCTTTTCTGCGAGGGAGGCTGCCATCAAAACTTGTCCTAGTAAGAAAATGGCAACAGCAAGGTGTAGAGCAGGGGTGGGCAATAATGTTTTGCCAGGAGCCACTTCAAAAATTTGCGGAGTGGCCCTGGGCTGTACCACAAGGTGTGGGGCCTCAAATGGAAGGGCCAGGGCCAGTATGCTTCCTCCCCCTCAGACCAGGATTGGTCTGGAGGTGGGGGAGCCTCTTTGCCCCCCAGGTTCCTTCTAGATACCTATGCCCCTGGCGATGGGAGGAGACTTCCTGTGCTCTTCTGCCCCCAGGCCAGTCAGGGCCCAGGGGTGGGGGAGCGTGCAAGCAAAGTCCCCTCCTGCCCTGCCAGGAGTGGGCAGTGCTTCAAAGCACTGCATGCTCCTCGCTCTGGAGGTGGGGGAGCCTCTTTGCCCCCCAGGTTCCTTCTAGATACCTATGCCCCTGGCGATGGGAGGAGACTTCCTGTGCTCTTCTGCCCCCAGGCCAGTCAGGGCCCAGGGGTGGGGGAGCGTGCAAGCAAAGTCCCCTCCTGCCCTGCCAGGAGTGGGCAGTGCTTCAAAGCACTGCATGCTCCTCGCTCCTTTGTGCGCTTCCCCCTGCTCCCAGGCCCAAATTGGCCTGGGGCGGAGGAGTGGCAGCGCCTGCGTGGGCGGATCAACCCGTTTGGCCCTCAGTGGCTGAGTGGCAGTTCTGCAGAAAAGGACCTGGGGATTATGTTGGAGGAGAAGCTGGATGGGAGTCACAGGGTTCCCTTCTCTCCAACGTGCCATTAGTCGCCTTGGGCTGCATTAGCAGGAGCATTGCCAGCAGATAGAAGTGACTATTCCCCTCTGTTCAGCACCGGGGAGGCCACATCTGGAGTGTTGTCTAGCTTTGGACCCCCAGGACAGAAAGGGCGTGGACACATTGGAGAGAGTCCAGTGGAGGGCCACAATCGTTCTTAGGGGGCTGGGGCACGTGGCTTCTGTAGTCTGCAGAAGAGTGCGGAGAGGGGTGGCAGCAGCCCTCAGCTCCCTGAGGGGATCCCCAATAGCTATTCAGGAAGCCAAGGTTCAGAGAGACTCTTTCATCCGAACTGAGCAGAAGTCTGTCATTGAATTGCCTCTGTGTTCTCCTGGATAATCCTTTTTAAGAGGGTCCCTGGAATTTCTCTTGACCATTTGTTTTCATTTGTATGAAAGCTGCTGTAGAGCCAGAGAACACAGGCTGCCTGCCAAATCCCAAGGGGATTGCTCCTTTTGGATCAGTCGTCCCTGACTTGTTGAGCGTGGGAGGAGTGCCAACAGGTGCCCAGGCACAACAGAGCTGCACGTTCTAGGGATGTAATGGTGGAGTGGAGGAACCGCTAAGAAAGCACACAGCTTCTAGTGCTGTAGACTACACACACTCCTCTCTCCCCCACTCCTTGCCAGTACACTTGTTAGCAGTCTGGCCAGCAGCCTGGCTCAGTGCTGGCTCGCGACAGGTTCAGGACCTACCCCCGCTGCAGCTCTGCATTTAAATCGTATTAGGAGCTGGGAGGGCAGGTGGACCGGCTCAGTCAAGGCTCACGCTGGGTCCAGGAGCTCCGACACTCTTTTCCCCTCCCCGTCAAGACAGGGACTGTGGCCACCTTCTCAGAAGCAGCAGCGCAGGGCGACAGGCAGCTGGCCCACGAGGGGAGCTGGCTTTTAAACTGGCTCCCCTTGCGGACCAGCCCGCACCTGGCACCCTGCACTGCTGCCTCTGATACACTGGCTGCCGGCCTCGCCCCCAGGGACTGTAGAATGGTCGAGTAACCGATAAGAATTCATGAGGCTACTCGGCTATTCAACTAACCGATATTGAACATCCCTCGCACGTTCTGCAAGTGGGTCTGGCTGGAATCCTTTGGTTTTGAAGTAGCATCTTAGGATTTATCTAGCCCATTCCCCGTCAGTGCAGCAGGGCTGAATTCAGTTCTCCTAAGCCCTGCCTAGTCTAGGTGCCCAGTGCAGCCTGGAACGTCTCTGCTGATGAAGTTCCACAGGTTTTTGTGGCAGCTTACAGAGCTTTCCTGGACGAGAGATTAAACCTGGGGTTTGATGTCTCTTGCCAGGTGTAAATCAATGGCTTGCTGGTAAAATAGTGTTACATTCTGAGACGTAACAAGAGGCTATCCCAGTCTGATTGCTGTTCCAAGAATCGGAAACGTGCACAGCCCCACATGTTCCTATGCACACTGCCCAGTGTCGCACCTTGACCGTAACTTTGGCCTGTTCTCCACCAGGTTTCCACCTCAGCGCCACAGTGGTACCACCGCAGATGGTGCCCCCGAAAGGGGCGTACAACGTGGCAGTGATGTTCGACCGATGCAGGATCACCTCATGCAGCTGTACATGTGGGGCCGGGGCCAAGTGGTGTGCCCATGTTGTGGCCCTCTGCCTCTTCCGGATACACAATGTAGGTCTAAATCCAATTGTCATTCTCTAGGTATTGCCCTGTAGTGCCATTGGGGCTTTGGAGACCCCTGCTTCCTTCTCTCCAGTGAAGTGTCTGTTCTTTATCTAATGGCAAGATCGTTGAGTCAGGCCACTTTGGAGTCTGGAGCCTTTGGGTGGCAATGCGGGCCCTAGACAGTCACAGTTTGAATTAAGGTAGGATGGAAAGTCCCTTGATACTGTTCATCCCACTGCAATCAACTTTCACTAAATTTTCTATATTTAATCCTGGTTACTTTGGGGCATTGTCAAGGCTGATTCCCCCACTCTGGCACGATAAATGCCAAAGTGGGGGCCCGCAAAAGCCACCCCAAAACCTGATCTCTGCAGGCTTTGGTATAAAGCTTCCCCCCAAAATCGCAAAACCCTGGATTTTGGGGATAAAATCCGCTGCCACCATCAAGTGCTTTTGAACCCACAAACAGGGGTGGACACTTGAAACCAACCCCAGGGCACCCCAAGCTCTTCTCCAAAGAGCCCGAAAAAGAAATAGAAAATACCAGTTGCAGTCTGTGGCTGCTGGCCCCTAGTCAGAGGCCTGCAGGTCCCACGGACAGATCTTCCAGGACACAGAACTGAACCGATACCAGGTTAATAGAAAAGAAAGCACTTTTATTATCACAACAATACTCCTGTTGCAAGTATAATGACTAGATGGAGAAAGTCACCAATTAATACACTCATGGGGATGCCCATGGGCTCCGGACTTAGTTACAAAAGGGAGGGAAACCCATTTCTAACAGCACAGACATCAGATCCAAAGTCCCATGACAGAAAACAATAAAACCTAACGGCTGTATCTAAACTTTACCCTACTTACACATTATGAAGTTTTTTTTTTCTTGGAGAGAGACAGGTCTTCTGTCTCCCTCGGTATCTAGGGCAAACTGGCTCAGAGACAAAGGAGGGAAAACCCAAAATTCCTTTGTTCCAGTTTGAAATCCTTATCTGCATTTCTATTGGCTGACTGCTACCTAGCTAGGTACAGTTAACCCCTTACTCCCCAGGCTGCTCCCCATCCCTCAAGGTCATGACAGGGTCAGTCTTGGGTTGGAAATCTTTGCAAGCCTGGGCTGTCTTGGGATTTGAAAGCTCTTGTGCTGGTCAGTCGTCCTGAGTTGCATTTGTCAGTCGTGATCTCCATGTGCCCTTGCTCATTCTCTGTGCTGTACTGCAGGTAGGGTTTCTGCTGCCTGCCAGGCTGACCCTCACGGCATGAGCCTGGATTGGTTTTATTAGTGCCATTATGGCGATGCACAAGCAGCGGCGAGGCACTCCGTGCCCCAGCGTGTTCCAGAATGCAGTGTTGGGACACGCTCCATGTAGCCTTCTCTTGCAGATTGATCTGCTGAGTGCGTGGTTTTTCAGAAGCTTGGAAATGCTTTTTAAGGAGGATTTGAGTGTAGCATGTGGACAGGCAAAGAAGCTTTTGCTTTGCTATGGAGCAGTTACAGTCCATAGTAGCTTTTACTCAGATTCAGGCCTATAAATACCTAAAGAGGTGCTAACTACCTGTGAACGTTCACTAATTTTCCAGTGGCATTTCACCATGGAGAAGCAGCATGTACGTAACCTGATGCATGCTGCTTTTAGTCTCCAGGTGGCAGCTGAGTATTTTAAGCCAAATGTCTGCTCTCAAGTAGTTACTCCACTAAAATAAAGGTTGGTATGGGAGGCTGCAAATAGGCAGCAGGTTTCCTGATTCATGGCATTAAGCCGTGACAAAAGCAAACCAGCATCTCTCCCGCCAGAGAGCATTGTGTTAATGGTTGACTGGTAACCCTCACTGCTTACCTGTTAGTTAACCTTTGGGGGCTGGAGCCTGGCCTGGCCTGGAGTGGCCCCTTGCCCCCGATTAACGAGTTAACTAAATAGACGGGATTTTACATCCCTGGTTTGCACACGCTGAGGGCTTGTCTCCGCTTACCTGGAGACCGACACTGCAGAGATCGACCTCCCAAGGTTTGATTTAGCGAGTCTAGTAAGAACCCACTGCATTTACTGCTGATGGCTCCCCGGGTCACGGGGAGCAAGGGAAGTCGATGGGAGAGTTTCTACCCTCAACCTGCTGCGGTGGGAACGCCGGGGAGATTCGACCTCAGGGTATGTTGACTCCAGCTGTGCTGCTCACGTAGCTGGAGCTGCGTATCTGCTGGCTTTCTCCCGTAGTACGAACCTGGCCTGAGCATGGAAAGGGAGCCTCATGTAAAGGGTATTGCCAGGGCAGGTGCCAAAACGTTGTGGGCCGGAGGTGGGGAGCTCAGATGACACCCCCATGCCTCCTCGCTTTGGTCAAAATTTGGAAAGGTCTCAATTCTGCCTCCTTCATGTTCCACTCCTCTCTTGGTCCTGCTCTGCTACCTACATAGGCACCAACACAGACACAGTTTTCTACACTCTGGGTCCTAGTGGCGCCCCCCACAGTCTGGCACCTGAGGCGGCTGCCTCAGTTCGCCTCGTGGTAAGGCCAGCCCTGGGTATTGCTATATGCAGACCTACCCAGATGCAGAACTAAGTCATTTAGCAGTGGTGTCCTACTCATTGAAATGCTCTTGCTTTTTTCTAGTTTAAATGTAGATGGCTTCTGCTGGGAGATGGTGTTCTGCATAGTGAAAGAATGTATGGACCTGGCTTTTACTGTCTACCATCTATTTTTTAAAAGGCTGGAATGAAGAGAAACAGAATTTAGAATTCGAATGAAGAAGCATCTAGCACTGTAGGTGAAAGGAGCGGTGATCCAAGGGCTCGCTCTTTTGCCAAAAGCTAAACAATCCTGTCCTGATAGAGGTTTGTTTGTGAATTCTCTGCCAGCGTTTGTGCACCTGCTAGCAATAATGGAGTTTGTGCATAGCAGTTAGTAGGAATCCCTTGTCATGGAAATTCTTTAAAACAGGTTTTGTAAAATCTAGTCCTAGATGGTTTGAGTTCAGGCTACAGCATTGTCCTACATGATATCAAGAAACATCCACATCCGCATGGAGCCGGCACCAAGGCTAAAACCCTGCTGGCAACACCTGTGCTTAAACATGGCCGTTACTAGCACTGATTCAGTCATCCTGTGGACAGCAGGGCTGTTGCATCTCTTCTCTTCTCCCTCCAGGCATCTGCGGTGTGCTTGCGAGCGCCCGTTTCAGAGTCCTTGTCTCGGCTTCAGAGAGATCAGCTACAGAAATTTGCTCAGTACCTGATCAGTGAACTCCCACAACAGGTAAGTGGAGACAGTCTTGTATCAATGGAACCCTGTTAAACTCACCCTCCGATGCTTTCACCTCTGCCTGTAACGCTTTCCTCCCCAGACAGCCAGCTCCTGTCCGATCACTTTCTAGTAACTGGGGAGGCTTTCTCTTGTTGCTTGTGTGTGGTTTAACAGTTGTGTTGCAGGTAAAGGGTTAGAATTATCCCGAACAGGGGAGAGGAGAGTGGTGCTTGGTCAGCCAATGTTAAAATGTCTTGAGACAGCACATGGGCATACACAGGTGCAGAGCTCATGGTTATGAAGAGCGTGATCTTCCAGAAGAAAAGCAATGACAAGGGGCAAGGGCCTAGTGTTCCAAGCACAAGTCACTGTTGGTGGCCTCTTGATTGTATATGAATTTAGTGCAGAGGAAAGTTGCCTGATTTGCCAGCCCTGGGAATGGTCTGCAGAACATGTACTGTGGGGCCAGTGGCGTTCCACACCCTGCCTCACCAGTGTTTGAACCCTCATCTAAGGAGGCCGCCCACCGGTAGGGGTGGAAGGATAGTTCAGTTTCTGATTCTGAGCTGTCCAGTCTCGCTGTCTCTGCTGAGGCTTGCAAAGCAGAGGGACAGCTATGATGGGCTTCATGGTGCGGCTAGCGTGGTCTTTCTCCCAGGCTGCAGTACCGTCCTTGGTCCCTACCGACCTGGGCTGCATTCAGATCAGTGAGAATGGGCTGTAAGATTTTTACCTGAGTTGGTATTTCTCAACCAGTGGATCAGGAGCTGTGAACGGCTGAAATTCTTAAATCTCTACTCCCCATCCCCACCCACCTTATCCTTCAAGGGCAAGGATTGTCCGTCTGCCTCTTGCAAAGCATAGGCTTATGGTTGGAGACAGGTGGAGAGAAAACTAGTAAATGTAAGGCGGTTTTGGTGTGAATGGTGAGTAAAGGGTTTGCTAACCTGGAAAGGTCGAGCAGCGCTAGAGTGAGCCGCTCAATCCCCCTGCTTCCTCTGTGTGAATTTGGGTTTTCGGTGCACAGTGGAGCATGGCTCATTTCCACTAGAAGTGAGGGCTCTGTCCATGTGCACGCAGCACCTTTCGCACCTCGTGCAACGTCAGTCAGAACAGTGCAAGCAAGACTCCAGCTACCACAGGTATTTAGCTGGTCAGGAGCAGACAAGAGAGCAAATCTGTGCTGTAAAGACACTGACATACAGCTGCTGTGTCTGTGCTCTAGATAGATGCAGTTGCATGCGCCAGCAGGAAGAGAAGTGAGAGAGAACCGGCCTTTCTTGCTCTCTCCAGAGGTTGTTGACTTCGGCACCCTGGAAACACGAATAGTACTGCTGGCAGGTGTTCCTCAGCAATGAATGGGCGGGCTGGCTGGCATATGGAAGGTGTCCCATCTCCTCCGATAGTGCGTGTGATCCTGGATAGCTGTCGCTTCCCAAAGGCCTTTAAGGGAGGGTCTGCCCAAATTCATCTTCTGGCCCCCACAGTGCTGGGGGTCAAGGTGTCGAGTGTGGTACTTGCAAGTACTTTGTGTACTCGCTGTAAAGCGTTGCTTCTGTGAAGCGCTGGCGAGTCATGTGAGGTGGCCTTTTCTCCTTATTTCCAGCTGATGAAAAACATGTCCTACTCCAGGGAAGCTAGTCGCTCCCAGTGTGCAGGGGAAATGGTCATGGAGCATGAGTGTAAGGGCTGGAGCTCTTGGGGGATTCTGCCTTATGACGCCTGTGCCATGGCGCAGGAGAGCATGTGGGCCCTGCTCCTGAGAGCTACCTGCACTGGGGAACTGTCTCCCTGGAGCCGTTGGGTGCACAAGTGTGTTTCTGAGGTGTCTCCCCCTCAGGCGCTAGTGTGTGGAGTGAGGAGTTCCTTGGGGCTACAGCCTGCAAGGGGTGAGTGGTCTTAGCAGTGACTTCTCCCTGAATGCCTGGCCTGTGTCTCCGGCACGGAACGCCCCTACTGCCCTCTTGCGGGTGTTGTTTTCCTTTGATCTCAAAGTGAAGATGGGTCCATGTCGTTGCCAAATTCCTGACCATGTGGGCGGGTGTGCAGGGAGCATTTTACTCCAGTCTCAGGTACCCGATCCACTCTGCCCTGGGGAGATGGGGAGTGGGTGCAGAGAGGAGTCCTGTCTGACCCGTGGCTGTACCACTCAGTCTCCATAGTCGGTTGTGGTTATTGTGCGGGTGAATCCTGGTAGCAAATGGCCTGAAGCCAGAAAGCCAGCCTCTGTCCCTGCCCCGCAGCTCCTGGGTCAGCGGGGCTGCCCGGGCTCCAGCACCGAATCAGCCATTCGGTAGCCTAAGGGATGAGTTGGGGACGGGAAAGGAAGCTTATCGAGGGGTACAAGAGAATGGGGGAAGCGGCGCTTGGGATTGCACAGTCCTTTCACTGCTCTCCTAGTCACCCTTCCCCTCCCCAGGCGCCCCCGTTTGCCTGCAGGGCGCAGGCTGTGCAATGCAAACGTTGAGCGGAGGAAGGTGCCTAGGTGGAGCGAGAAGGGTTGTAGTGCAATAGCACGGGGCGTTCCCTCCGCGCTCCTGGGTTTTATAGGCTGTTGCACGTGTCAGGCGTGCAGGAGCCCCTGGGTGGACAACTAGGAAAGGAGCCCCGAAAGCTAGCCCGCAGACAAGTGTTTCCAGCGGCTGACAGGCCAGCCGGCCCGCGGTCGCAGCAATGGACATGGGTCTCGGCTGGCTGTGACAAGGCAAGGTGTGCGGATGCACTTTCAGGTCACACTCAACATACGTCTCCTGTGTTTTAGATCCTTCCTACCGCTCAGCGCCTACTGGATGAGCTGCTGTCTTCTCAGTCCACTGCCATCAACACAGTGTGTGGAGCCCCAGGTAGCTGGAATAGTCTGGTGGGAAGCGGGTGTGTCTCCTCTGACTGTCACTGGGTTCCTGGGGTGGCTGTGGGAAGGGTTTGTGTGAACTGGGGGAACAGAGCCTGCTGAGAAGGCCAGGTGTGTGCTCTTGGCTCTGCACAGGCTGGCTGTTTGTAGCAGAAGGTGTTGTCCAGTGACCCTGTGTGCAGTGACTGCAGTGTGTTTCCAGGCCCCCTGAACAGTTCTGAGACTGTTGCTCTCTAGATGGGGTGAAGTTACAGTCGCTGCTTATCTGCTGCCTGCGGTCTCTTGGGCTGTGGGTCGTAGACGGCAACTCTCCAACACCTGCCAACTGTTCTGTTCTTTCTCAAGATCCCACTGCTGGTCCCTCAGCCTCAGACCAAAGCACCTGGTACCTGGATGAATCTACTTTAAGTGACAACATAAAGAAAACCCTTCACAAGTTCTGTGGGCCCTCTCCTGTTGTCTTCAGGTAAACGGCGCCTCCCCCAGAGTAGGGACTTACCCCTGCCTACAAAGGGCTGTGGCATTGGGCTCAGAGTCCACGGGAGTGCTCTCCTTTGCTGCTCCACAGACCGTAGTGTGTAAGTGGCATCAGGCCATGGGGTCACTCTTCCAGGTAACGTTCTGTCTGCGCGTGCGGGGCAGTGTTGAGTCTGGGGAGATAAAACCCACTAGTGCTCGTTCAGTCTTGGCACAGCGTGTCCAACTTGCCTGCTCCTGTCTGGCTCTTATGCTAACTCGTAAGTGACACGTTTGTCCAAGCCCCTCTCGAAATGCAAGTCTTGGGTGGCCCAGGATCTCTGTGGATGTGGCTGTGCTTTGCCCCGTCTCATTCCTGTTCTCCCTCCCCTTTCATTCCCACAGCGATGTCAACTCGATGTACCTCTCCTCCACGGAGCCGCCAGCTGCTGCAGAGTGGGCGTGTCTCCTCCGTCCCCTGAGAGGCAGAGAGCCGGAGGGGATCTGGAACCTGCTCTCCATTGTTCGGGAGATGTTCAAGCGAAGGGACAGCAACGCAGCCCCTCTGCTGGAGATCCTGACTGAGCAGTGTCTGACCTACGAGCAGGTATTCAGTGCCTCCGGGGCAGCACGCTGGCCAGGAGGGACCAGGCGATGGCCACAGCTGTTCAGTGCTGCTAGAATCCCTGGCTTGGAAAAACGCCCAGTCTTTGTGCCCCTCCCTCCACAAGGAACTGCTCTCCCGTGGGTGCTGGGGCTGTGATGCTCCGTACACCACTGCATCCCATGGCGATGTCGGATCCTCTGACCCCTGCACCTCTTCTGGCCAGCCAGGGTGACTAGCTCTGCTGATGCTTCCAAGCCAGAGTCCGTCTGCTACACTTTGACTTAAGGGCCATGGATGGCAGAATGGCAGCCGCTTCACTGCATGTGGGAAGCTCTGAGCCTTTTCTCTAAATCTGTTCAAATGGTACCAACAACAATGTTGTGTGGATGTTGTGGAAGGGAAAAGGTTCATTGTGACAACCCAGGACACAGTAGAGGTGTAACCATGGACCTCCTTAGTGCCTGCCTCTGCCTCAGATTGAGCAAGGCAATCCCAGGGCTCGGTCCAGGCCCATTCAGTCCCTGCTGTGTCTGATGATGCCGCAAACGAGAGAGCTATTTGTGAGGGCATCTGTCCTTTAGGACCAGACTGAGCCGACCAGTTCACTTCATGTCGGGCACTAAGCTGCAGCCAGCTGGTGGTAACGTCAGTCACTGCCAGTGTGCTGGATTTGCCACTGTTGTACTGTGGACTATATTTCCTCGCGCTTCCCCATCCCGTGTCAGTCTGCTCTCGCTTTGATTCTAGTCTGAGGTTTCATCCACCCCCAGGTTTCAATGGGTCTCTGCCTTCATGCCCGTAATACAAACCCAGGCGTCGCATGTCTAGCCACAGAACGGACTATTCCTGTTCGTCACTTGCCATTTACTTCCAGAGTTCATGTCCTCCAGCCTGTGCAGATGTGGGTGGGTGGGACCCGGGAGCGGAGGGCGCGGCTGCACTGAATGTGTCTCCTCCTCAGATAACGGGTTGGTGGTACAGCGTGCGAACGTCCGCCTCCCACAGCAGTGCTAGCGGGCACACCGGGCGCAGCAATGGCCAGTCGGAAGTGGCTGCACATGCCTGTGCCAGCATGTGCGATGAGATGGTGGTTCTGTGGCGCCTGGCTGTGCTAGACCCAACCATCAGCCCACAGAGGTGAGCATCAGGGTCAGATCATCTTTAACGGGTTCCTTCGAGTCCCTTTCCACCGCCTTGATGTAGTCTGTGGGCCACACGCACTTTGGTTTTGGGCCTTGCACCCCTCGTGATGGAATTGTACTTCCTTCGTTGGACTTGCGCTGTCGCTAAGACGCGCTCTCCTGTCCGAGAGAAACATAATCGCTTTCGGCTCTACGTGCTGGCATTCCTCCGTTTCTAGCCCTGCTTTCCAAAGTGAACGTCTGCGTCTTGTCTGTCTGGTCCCTTTGTAACGTGCCCGTATGGTTCTGCACGAAGTTCTGATCTCTGCGGGCGGAGGGAGGTTTCTGAGTGGCAGTGCACTGCAGGGTTTGGTTACATGACACCCACCCTCGTGGCGTAATTGGCTTCGGGAGGTCTTAGTTCTGACTGACAGTCTTTGCCAAGTATCGGGCCTTGCTTTGCGTTCCATTTCCGCTCCCGCTGGACCAGCGCGCGGCAGAGCTGACAGGTGTAGCTGTCTTGTTGCTTTGTTGTGGACATTTATGTAGATGAGTTGAGCCCTTGAGTGCTCACTCGAGGAGGGCCATTGGCACTGATGGGAGCCAGCATAGTCCAGCGTCAAACCCCATGCAAACCTCCTCGCCTGGCTCTGCCTGTGCCGCCCACCCTGCTGTACAGCCGCTGCCTGGGCAGCCTGCGAGTGTCACCTTCGGGGGGTTTGGCTGCGCAGCGCTTCCCCCTGAATCCCCTGCCTACAGCCCAGCTAGACTTGGCAGCATTGGGCTTCCATGGCGCAGGCCTGCCTAGAAGCTGGTTCCCTTCTCTGTCGCCGCCTTGCTGGTTTCCTGCGTGCGGGGTGGCCCGTGCTACGGCAGCGGGCGGGTTTCCTGTGAGCGGGGTGGGGAGTGGTTTGTCATGGTGCCTTACAGCGGCTTCTCTTTCCTCTCCTCGTGCTCCAGGCGCAGGGACCTTTGCACCCAGCTCCGCCAGTGGCAGCTGAAAGTCATAGATAATGTCAAGAGGGGGCAGCACAAGAAGTCCCTGGAGAAGCTCTTCCAGGGTTTCAAGCCCGCTGTGGAAGCCTGCTACTTCAACTGGGAGGAGGCCTATCCCATCCCTGGCATCACCTACAGCAGCGCGGACAAGAAGAACTCGTTCTGCTGGGTGAAGGCGGTCCAGCAGAGGAGCTGCCGCTTGCAATGTGCAGAGACCGCGTGTGAAGCAGGCAGAGGCCTGGGGCAGGAGCCTGGGGACAGGTCACGCCCCTCTTCGCAAGAGCCAGCCGTCCGCCCGAAGGAGCTCCTTGGGAAGCGGAAGGCTGTCTCGGAAGCCCCGCAGCGAGCTTTGCGCCGCCTCTCGGCAGAGGGAGAGAAGGCCGTGTACAAGCCAGCAGCAGGCAAGGCCAAGCTGCCGGTGGGGAAAAGCGTCGCCAGTAAGCACAGTGGGAAACGCCGCATGAGCAGTGAGGACAGCTCTCTGGAGCCAGATCTGGCAGAGCTGAGTCTGGACGACAGCAGCTTGGCTCTGGGGGCGGAGGCCAGTAACACCTTCAGCTTCACCGAGAGCCCCGTGAGCAGGAGCTACAGGGACACCTTTGAAGAGGATGGGGGGGTGTACTTCTCAGAAGGGCCGGAGCCCAGCGCCAGGAGCAATCCCGCTGCCAAGAAAGCGCCCAAGGACCCTGAAGAGGGAGCGGGCAGCGGCGACGACGAGCTGCCCTCTGCCGACGAGAACGGCGGTGGGCCGGGCCGGAAGGCGGAAGCGGGCGAGAATGGCGCAGCAGGGGGCGGGCAGGAGGGAGAAGAGGACGATGATTACCAGGTGTACTATCTGAATCCCCAGGAGGTGGCCAAGGAGGAGGAGGACAAAGTGGAGGGGGGCAATGAAGAGGAGCAGGACATCTTTGCTGGCATAAAGCCCCTGGAGCAGGAGAACAGGATGGAGGTGAGCTAGCGGCAGTGGGAAAAGAGCAACCTGGGATTATTTTTCATATTTGTATCACAGAGGACGATGATTACCAGGTGTACTATCTGAATCCCCAGGAGGTGGCCAAGGAGGAGGAGGACAAAGTGGAGGGGGGCAATGAAGAGGAGCAGGACATCTTTGCTGGCATAAAGCCCCTGGAGCAGGAGAACAGGATGGAGGTGAGCTAGCGGCAGTGGGAAAAGAGCAACCTGGGATTATTTTTCATATTTGTATCACGTGGGGGGGAACCTTTTTTCCATGCGGGCCATTGGTGCACAGACCAATCCATCATGGGGGACAGCCCG